GCTTCCTGAACATACTGGCATGTTCAGGAACTGGGGCTAGGGGAAGGCCTGCCGAGGGCTTTAGCTGCCAGGCTACTGCTTGCTCCAGGTCCTCTGGTGAGATTTCTTTGGAACCTTACTTCCAACTCCACCACTGGACTCAGATATCCAACCATGGGGAAAATCACAGGATCTGTGGTCTGACCATAAAGTACTTGTGTCAAAACTGGGCCTAATACCATGGCAGAGAATGGAGGTCTAACCTCATAGGAATTGTCCCCCATCTTGCCACTTGTGATGCTGTGGCAAAGTCTGACCAGCTTATACTTACTCTGACCAACTCTCCTGACCAAGCTTTAACAGCAAGTATCCTGGCAAGTGGAGACTCTAGGGTGGATTATATCAGCTAATGGACCTTGGAACAATTTCCTCAACCTTGGAGCAATGGAATCAACAGCATCTCAGAGCTATCTAAAGCCCTTAAGTAGTACCCTCAGAACATGCTCCACACTGGAATGGAAGTCCAATATCCCTAGGGTACTAAGACAATTCTCTCCTGTTTGCTCCTCCCTCCCCCAGCTACAGAAAGATTAAAAAAAAAAAAAAAAGGAAACACTGTCTCATCCACTTTTTCCCATTTCTTCTCCCTTTCCACCCTAATCAGTGGTCCACACGGACATGCATGCTTCACAATTGTGTAAGCATCATCAAAAAATAAAATACATCTATTAATACATATATAATGGCTATTTCTATAATTTTTCAATAAAGCAGATAACCACAAAAGAAATTCCTTGATTTGACTCACACCTTTACCCAAAAGTCTTCAAAAGGGCTTCTTTGATTCCAGTGTTTAAAAAAGTACCTCTCCTCTGCACACACACACACGACCTAACCTTTGCTCTCATCACAGGCAAGTAGTCGCGCATTATCTGCTCTCCCTGCTTTATTTTCACAGCATTTACTGCATCAACATACTCACTGCTCACCACAGAATGAACAGGAAGTAGATAGTTGATGAATGAATACTGAGGCTCATACATTTTTTCATTATGTGCTTTGATAAAGCTTAATTTAAAAAACTGTCCAATGTATCTTAATGAATTAAGGAACAGTCATGTGGACTTAATGAATCTAGATTTAAGAAAAAGAAAGTGTCTAATTCTATAAAATGTTAAATTGAAAAGACTTAAGGATATTAAAAACTAAATCATAAGTCTTCTATAAAAAGAAAATAATTCAGCAATATTTAAAGTATTCTGTTAATTAAAATGCAAGGTAAAACAAAATGACCTGAAGTTACCGTCATGAACCTGTCTCCTCTCAGCAAATTAAAATTTCATGCCACAGAAAGTTCTATTCTTCCAAATATCTGCCTCTAGCAGTCCAGTAATCAATACTGAATTTTATTTTAAAACTCATAAATGTTTGATTCAATTTGATAAGTAACTAATTTGTCCAGTGTTTAAGTTAATGTCTTTTGGCCTAACTGAAATGCATTTAATCTGAAGGTTTTTTTTTTTAATTGTCAAGGAAGAAATGTTTTTCTTAAAAAAACAGTTGAATTTGAGGAAATTTAAACTTGCTCAAACAACTTTGAGCTTATCACTAGACTAGATGTCTTTCTTAATGACATTTAAATGTGTATCTGATTTTAACCTGCCTTGTCACCCACCCAATATTACTGAATGATTTTCCTTTTAGAGAGACCTATGGATTTTGACACCTTAAAGTCTGTGTTTCAATTTTGCATTTTACGGAATCAAAGCAACTTCCTTTACCTTGGCTCACATTCAAATTCTTCAAAACACACAGGTGAGCCTTTGGAGGCTAGATTAGAAACCCAAGGATTAAGAGTATCCGTTCAAATCCTAGCTCTATCCCTTATCAATAGTGCTAACCTATGCAGGCCGTTAGTCATTTAAGCTTGAGCTCCTCACTCACAATAGCATACATGAGGTGAGTTAATAACAGTACTGACTTCACAGGAACACGAGAGAATTAAATGAGCTAACACATAGAAAAATCTCTGCTAAGGACTTGGCTCCTACCAACTGCTCAGTAAGTTCAATCTTCAAATAAATAACTATTGAATATCTATCTGCCAGCACTTGTCTAGGAATTAAATTAGCTGCACACATCACTAAATACAACTATGATTTATGGATTTATATTTCAGTTGGGGGATAAAATCAATTAAAAGGGCTCATATTTACATAATGTAATGTCAGGTAAAAAAAACCATGACGGAGAGGACCAGAGAGAGCACTCAGCAACGTGCTAATTCACATGTGGCAGTGTGAGCAGCTCACTCTGATGAAGTCATATTTCAGTAGAAACTGAACGAATACAGTTCGTGAGCACGTTCATCGTGTTCTCTAACACAGGGATGATGACATGGATGACTGACAACCCCTGTTTACAACAACACCTCCCATTTCCATATCTTTACTCAGGCTTTGGGATACACCACAGGAAAAATCAGTTGGCAAAGGTGAGGGAGGAGAAGCTTGGGCACCTATACACTAGCTTTGTTACCAAGAGGCAGCTACACTTCTCCAAAAGTGTCTGGTTTTCTGTACCTCGAAGTGAACATGCATAAAGCTATTAAAGTAAAAAGGAGATAACTTCAGCCACTGTGTCTTGCAGTTATGCAATAGGATGATAAACTTATATTTCCATGGGTACAAGCAGAAATGAATGGGAATAGAGGCAAATGGGAAACAAATTATATTGAAACCAAAGCAGCATTCTTTATGGAGGCTAAAAATGAAATTTAGCAGGATGAAAATTAGATATTTTATAGCACATTACATGGTCACAGGCATTAACTTCTTACATAGATTAAATCAAGAAATAATTTCAGTTACAGAAGAGCACAAATAACTACCTAAAGGAAGATATATGATGGATAATACCAACATAACAAAAAGCTTATCAACTTGTTCTCTGCTCATAATTGAAAACTATCTAACTTTAACAACCTCTACTTTGCAATTTTCTTATAATAGTACAGTGATTCTTTAAATCAAGCATCTAACAATATTTATAGCAAACCGAGATAATGATTTGTATATTTCTAATACCATTGCTGCAAAGCAGGTTAACAGCCACATACACTTCAAATTTCCAACTCATGAAACAATCACATATGAATATTACCCTTTAATCTTCCATAACTTTCAGTATGCATCTATTTTCCTAGATAGCACAATAAAATGGCAAAATAATCAACTCACAGTGTTGAAGGCTGTTAGAGATACTAACCAGACTGTAATACCCAGAATGTAAATCGCTATATAGGCCCATTTCTCAAAAAAAACTTTATATAGTGAGGACTACAGCTTTGCTTGAAATGATTCTTACACAAGCCCGAATCTGCATCATTGCTCTTCTCTGTTATGACTTCAATGTCTCAATTTAGTACTAGCTAAAAACCCTTTACGCAATGCAAATATCTAGGTTGACTTGTAGAATGGGATATCAGTGCCTCTGAAAACTTACTGTGCTAACCTAGGATAAAAGTATCTTCCTGCACTGTATTTTATTCGTACTGAGACATACAGGAACTGAGCTCATGTGCCCATATGCACAGCTAAGCAGAGACAAAATTCTTGTGATGTACAATGTTGCAGGGAGGAAAATTTTGAAGTAACAGATGTCAAAGACAATCCTACATGATGATTTGAGAATCGGAGGAAAGAAATATTTTGGAGCTAAACAAAATGTACTCCAGTAGGCATTCATAGAAAAAATTTATTTGCAGAAAGATCAATCTAAGACAGAAATGTAAATTTGCAAGTTACTGAAGCATAAAAAGTGAATGAAGCCATTAATATAGACTAACTTGACCAAACAGAAAAGATCCTAGAATTCTGCAGAATGATAGATAGCATTTATTCATAAATAGAAGAAGATATATTGAAAGATTTCATTGGATAGAGAAAAAAAAATCACAACCTTCTTCAGAGTAAGAAACAACTTTAAGGAGTTTTCTGTATTTAAGGCAAAAATTAATGAAAACTATTAATTTACCAATGTTATGGTTATATGGAACCATGAAAGTAGATCCACTCCTATGTCACAGAATTAAATGTACAGCAATCAACTGTCAAACTCTGTGTGATGAATGCTAGACCCCAGCTAAAAGTGAAGACTCAGTAATGTAATAAAAGTGCAAATACATTGATTTCTGAGCTAAGAAAAATTCTGCAACTGTTTTTTTTTTTTTAATTTTCAATCAACTGAATCTGGATTAACCATTAGCAATCTTAGAACAGAAGTTAAAAAAACATCCCAACATATAAAAGACCACATAAATAAATAATAGTCTACCAAGTTCTGTGGTTTTCCCATTTCTACATGGTTCTTCTTATTAAAGAGCACAGCACCTCCCGCCCCCCCCCCAAAAAAACCTCTTGTAAGCCCCAACCCAATTCTTGAGGCCCTAGCAGTGTTCAGAAGGTAAGTGAGTATCACTAATTCACTTTGGCCCAGATGCAAAGTTTCTAAAGCAAAACACGAACATTCCTCATTCCCTACCTTACAAGCCTCTTAAACGCCATGAAATAAACGATTTCTGTGACATTCCTTAAAGGTAAAAATACCTGAAAAAAATCACTCAACCAGATGCCTGACCCCACACATGCAGGGCATATATGCCTTATGGTGACTGAGAATAGCATAGTTTTTTAAAGTTCCTATATCTTATAAAACATTGTAGACCTAACCCCAAATTACAATTCTAGTTTACTCCTAATGGTCAGACACTTTGTTTAACAGTACACCTTAGAGTCTTTTATAACAACTGTTCAAAGTATGAATCATGTAGAATAGTGAATAGTAAGGCAATAACACATCCTAGTAGAATTAGATAATTTCATGTGATAATTACAAAATCCTTTTTTCCCCCAGACTTCTACAAAGAGACTAGGAAGTGTATTTACATGTGGAAATGTTAACTTACTGAGAATTCTTTTAAAACAGATAACCAAAGAAGTCGACTACATAAGGGCACCTACCTTGGGGATAGGATTCAGCAGAACTACACCCGATTTCTTAGTGATGACTTGTTTTGTTGTGTAGTGATGGTCTATAAGTTGAGGGATGTTTACAAACCCAGTGCCCTCAAATCTATAGAGATTCTGGAGAGAGAATAATAAAAGCATTACTTCACAAAGACTTTATTTATCAATAAAGTAACCTCAATTTAACTGCATCACGAATATACTTAACACTGACAAAAAATACATTTAAAATAGTAAATAATAGTAAATAACACTTAAAATAGTAAATATCGTTTAAAACTTCCAATAAAACAAAATGATTTAAAACTCAAGAAAAGTGAAATTAATTTTCACAATGATATAATTAAGGAACATGAATATATTCACTTACATCTATATACATATATATATTCCATTTTATAAAACTTTTGATAATTTTAACTAGAGATTTAAGAAAATATATTCAATAAAAAGCATTTAATATTTTTCATGTTTTCTATTTATTAAAAGCAACATTCATTTTCTACTTATTAGTGCCAATAAATTTAGCAAGTAAAAGTATCCTCTTGGTAATACTTTTCAAGGCAAGGAGCTTTGGGAAATAAGTACAACTACATATAAACAGATGTGCTTTAAGAACACTCCATTAAGAAATAACTTGTGTAACTGCCTGCATGTGGATATTATTTCCATCACTGAGTGGCCACTTTTTAGGTTAAATACTCAAAACTCACAACTCCCTTTCTAAAGTTTAATCTGTCAGAATTTAGTTTATATAAAATCTCAAAAATGATTATTTATTTCATTAGGAAACAAACATGGGATAGTTTAACTCTTAAACAGTGTATAATTCAAATCAACACAGTTTGTGTTAGAATCATTCATAGCATTTGTTAATAAATTGCCTACAGAATTTTTTTTATTGTACCAGTAGTGATGTGCTATGATATATTAGCACTGGCATTTGAGAATATTTCTTACTGGGATGACTATAGTTCAAAATAGCCTATTACATACTTTATGAATTAGCACAAGAGAGTCAAAGGCTCCACACACAACATAATGACAAGGAAAGAGAAATGTTAATTGTCCTGATTTGATCAGTATACACTGGTCACTGGTCACATGTATTCAAATATCACACTGTATCTCAGAAATATACACAACTATCACGTGTTAAAACTTGTTCTATATTTAAGAAAATCAAACTTCTAACAAAAAAAAAAGCTGTTCTCAAAAACACACATTTTACATCAAAGTTATTGATGTTTCTAGGTAAACAATGCATTTGGGAAGATCTCTCTCTGTCTCAGCTTATTCAATAGTGAAAAGTTAGTACTGGGATCTCCTCACAGAACAAGTGTGAAGTCTACCAACTCATGTGCCAGGTTCTGGCACATGGCATACACTGCTAAGATCTCCCACAACACTTAGCACAGTTCACAATTACAAATTGTATAATTTCTGAATAGTTGTGAACTGACTCATTTCACTCATAACTCTACACCTTAAATAATCCTAATTCGATTACTATTTTCTGGAATTAATATTAGTAAGTAATTGGGATATCTCCATGTCATTATTCAGAAGGTCTTGAGGATGACCCAGGGGCACGGACAGTAAATCCATTGCCTGCAATATCAGTAACCCATATAGGCACCAGTTCAAACCCAGCTGCTCCAATTCTAATCCAGCTCTCTTCGCTAACGAGACTGGGAAAGCAGCAGTGGATGGCCCAAGTGTTTGTGCCCTGGTACCCACATGCGAGACCCAGAAGAAGCAAGCTCCTGGCTCCTGGTTTCATCCCAGTCCAGCCCAGACTGTTGTAGCCGTTGGGGGACTGAACTAGCCAATGGAAGAATGCTCTGTGTTTCCCCATCATCCTTGTCTCTCTCTGTAACTGTGCCTTTAAAATGAATAAAACAAATCTGTAACCAAAAAAAAAAGAGGTCTCCTTCAGTGTCTCTTTGTATTTCAGGCATACAAAAATGTTACAGCTTTATTTTGACTTGGTGTGCTTACTGTCTTCCCTTGAGTCCCTGAAGAGCTGGAGTAACACGGCATAAACTAATCCAACAACCACAAAAGAAAGACCACAAACTTTAAATTAACTGTCACACACTCAAAAACAGTGATGGATCTGTCCTCACTCTCTTACCAGAGCATGAATAGGAAAGGAAGTACAGCCTAGATATTCTGTCAACAAAACAAAGTAAATCTATCTGGTACATTCAGAAAATAAATTAATCCGCTATAAGCAAAACTTAATACATGACAGATATCCAATAAATATTGTGGATTACATTAATAATTTTACAGATTGAACTCCCTAATGCCTCATAGCAATCATCACCTCTACTTTTATTTTATTGACTCAAATACCTAGGCTTTATATGAGATGCAGTAACTCCTGAATAAATGAATGATCAATTCTATTATAAAGATAATTTTCACTAAAATTTTATGAAATATAAAGTATATGGATACAGCTAGCTTATCAGTACATGTTCATGGCTTAATAAATCAACTTATTTTTTTACTATTTCTTTGTTCATAAATTCTATTTTGTCTCATCTAGTAGGTTGTAAGCCCAGTGGGAAGAATGGCCATTAAAAAAATTCATTCTCTCATGTTTCATAACACTATAATTTGCAAAAATGAGTAAATGAGTGTTAGCTAAATGAGTGAAATATGAATTAGTACTATTCTAGTAATAGCATACAACTTTTTGAGTGCTGAGATTTTTTGAGTGTTTTTGTTTTATCACAAATGTTTTGTCACATACATAAGCAATTATTTGACTATAAATTTAGTTGTCAAATGGAAAAGGCTATCTGGATCTCCATAAAAATCCATCAACATTTACAACACAATAAATAGCTTTAGGTACAAACCCTTGCAGTTTTATATTAAGCACTATATTCAGCACACTAACAATGGAGCAGTTCAATAAACAGAACTACAAACACTCTGAAATCAGGAGGTCTAAGATATATGTATACCTCTTTTCATTGACCCAGGATTTAATATTTTTTCTAGTCTCTAAAATCCCACATTACTTTAAATCTTCCTCTTCCAGGAAACTTACTACTTCACTTACGGACAGCTCTTGAAATCAACTACTGAATTGAATTCTCCTTCATTAGAACAAAACGGGTGCTCATTAAATATCTGTGAATGAACTCTCCTAATTATTGACTTTTTGACAATAGCCATATGAAGAAAGGACATAAAATTATATTAGATCAAGGAAGGTTCACCTGTAGAGAATGAAGACTAATTTAGAGCTCTCAAACTGCCTATATCAATTTAAAATTCTCCTTTGAAGTACATCAGGATCTTAATATTTCACAGGAAAAACTTGCTAGAACAGAATTATACAGTTTAAAAAAAAACCTATGGAATTGACAAAATGATACATTCTCCCATCTTTAGGTAGAAATGTTTGTAACATTTTAATGACACGAGGAAGCCTGATAAAACTTTCAATTGTGAATTTTACAGTACCTTATTTCTAAATGGAATACTCTTACCTTTTTATTTCTACCAGTATTACTTTACATTCTTAAACTAAAAATGGTGATAAGAGGAATAGCTGAGCCATTTACTCTGATATATTTAGAATCAGTAACCCTTTAATTGTCTCATCTATTTTTATTTTTACTTTACTTGAAAGGCAAAGAAAGAGAAGGGGAGTTCTTCCATCAGATGGCTCACTTCCCCAAATGCCCGCCAATATCTCAGGCTGGAACACAATGAGGGTCTCCCAACGGGGTGGCAGGGACCCACATGCTCAACCCCACCAGGATTTGTACTCGTGGGAGGCTAGATCAAAAGCAGAGCCAATATTCAATCCAGGCACTCCAGTGCAGGATGTGGCAGTCCAAGCAGCAGTTCAAAAGGATAGCCATTAACAGCCCCCAAAGAGTAACTTTTGAAACTCAGAAAACAGAACAAAGCATAAAGTGCAGTTAATTATTTTATACTTTATCCATGGCCCTTTTCGATATTACTGACATGGTCACAAACTAACAGGTTAGGTTACCTACAATTCACAACTTAAACACCTATACAAATCCAAAGTTAGCCAGGGAAACAAAGAATGACACAGCACTAGAAACAGTGTAATTTCTAAAAGAGTAGGTTCAAAAGAAGTGGATATATTTGATTATCAAATTGAGATTTGAGTGTCATACAGAGTTAAGAAATTGTGTGAAAATTATTGTACATACATACTTCAGTGGACTTCTTTATTTTAATCCACCTGAAAGGCACATATTTTCATTTAACCATAACTGCGATATGTGAATGCATTTTAAAGAACACTGAACCAATACTTTAAAATGGCTAATTTTATAGCATATGAATTTCACTTCAAAAAATATATAGATGAATACATATTCATATGAGATATCAAGTCACCTAAAAATAAATCTGAAGTTCATGTAATGATCATGGCTCAATCTCTCTTAAGGCAACTATTATAACTATGAGCAGCAATCTTGTCAATGCCACTTGAAGTGATGAAGAGAAAAATGGAAAACAGAGGCATCAAGCTGCATGTACCACCAAATAAATGGCTATTATAAATTTCTCAGTGGCTGGAAGTGAAAATTTTGAAGTACTCTTCATCTGTTTGTTGTTCATTCAAGACAATGTAAGAAACATAGAAAACAGTTTGGCACTACTTATATTTCAATACCTGAATCAGCATTAGAATAAATAATATGAAAAATATTATAAAGTTTTTTTCACTAATTTCTGTATAACATTCTGAGAAATTAATCTCTAGAATCATAAATTCAGCTATCATTGGGGTAACTGGCCTCATGGTTAAGATGTTGGTTGTAAAACTCTGGTCATAACTCAGACAGCATAGGTTCAATTCCTGCTTTTTTAAAAATATTTTTTCTCTGGTTTCAAGCTTGTCTGATGTGGACTCTGGGATGCAGCATGACGGCACAAATAATTGGCTTCCTGCCACCAATCCAAGAGAACTGAAGAGTTCCCCACTCCTGGCTGCAGCCTCAGCCACTGGGCGGATCTAGGAAATGGAACCCAGTACTCTCCCAATCTGTCTCTCACACACTCTGCCTCTCTTTGCCTCTCAAGTTTCAAAACCTATAAATCCTCTCAAGGCACCATCATTTCAGCCGTGTCAAGGGCCATTTTCAAATAATCAAGTTTCCCTAGGGAAAAAAAAAAGGAAGTTTGATGATCGCACTGTTTTTATTCTTAATTTTAATTCCTTCATTTTAAAAATTGAACATATTTGCTCTATTTATGCATTTAAATTTGAATAAAACATTTTTACCTTAAAATAAGTTTTAGATATAGGTTTCCTTAGAGTTAACATGGTAGTGAAATCTGTAGTACTAGATTTAAGAAATGTTGCAAAAAAAAAAAAAAAGTTTGAATGTAAGAAGCACTTATAACCATTCATCATCATTATGTTATAGTTATAGCACAGCAAGCTACATGAAAAAATACACATGAACTGAACTGGAAACGTACATCAACAAATTGTATGATAAAGTGTCTCCTTTGTCCATCAGAATATACAGAAAGGACATATTCACCAGGTTTCCCATGACTCTCTCGCACCAAGAAGTCCCCTTGTTGTTTCAAAAGCTCTTGGGCTTCTATTCTAGGAATTGCACCATGGTACCAGTCTTGTTCAGCCAGGGGCTTCTCACTTAAGGAGATCACATCAGAGAACTTGAACAAATATTAGAAAAGAAAAAAAAAAAGCTTAGAAAAAAAGCAGTGATTTAATAACCTAGTAAAATTCATAACAACTTAAATACCTATACCACCCCCATTAAAAGTTACATCATAAGTCCCAAATTTTCATAATTTCAAAGGAAATATCTTCTGCAGCACTTATGCTAAATCTGTCCTTTATGCTTTTCTCTTTCCATCTATCATACTTTGGTACATACAATGCTGGTATTTAGAGTTAGTATTTACGATCCTATTCACCATTGCATAAATAAACCTATGTATTAAACAAGAAATATTATGAATAAAAATGGCTATTATCAGGGACGTATGTCACCGAATCACTTTTTTTCTTCTTATTATTAAAAGTTGGGGGCCTTATTAGAGATCACTCACACAGGCTGTGGACAGTGTCACCAGGTGTTATTTGTTAGAAATCACCTTTCCCTCTTCATCCTCCATCACCTGATCCCCTTATAGCCTTGAACTCCACCACCTAGCTGCCTAGCTTCTCACACGAGTGAGATCAAGTAGCAGATAAAGCCTCGGGAGAAGCAACACTAAAAGCCAGCAACATGGCATGAAAAACACACGGCAAACTTTAGAGAAAATTCAATCCAAAAAAAAAAAAAAAAACAGCAGGAAAAGCAAATTTTCTCTTAACTAGGAGGCCAGATGCTCATGTCGAAAAGCAAAGATAATTAAGAGTTAACACTATTTTCTTGCAATGGTTCTAACTGATGGTAATTATTATCATTCATTTTGGTCACAAATGATCTGGTCTTGTTCTGGCCTCTGCTGCTTTAACCATGATAGGAACCAAGCTTTCCCTGCTAGTCTAAGAGAGAGCTAATGGGAAGTACAATAAGGTTCTCAAAATGCAATGTGTACAATAGTTCAGTTATTACAAGATCACTGAAACAAATAAGTACGCATTCAATTTCAGGAAATGCAAACATTCATCACCAACTTGGCATTGCCTCTGTAGAACATGGCATCAATCAGACACAATCTGCATATTTCAGTCATTTCAGCAAACATAAAATATCTATTCACTGACAATGAAAATTATATAAAATAAATCTCATTAGACCGTTCCTCAACATAACAATTTCACTTGCAACTCAGACAATATTACTGAATTTTCCTAAACATGACTAGCTTCACAAAGGGAATTCAGTGTGTAACAGTGATAGAATGCTCAAACTTTATTTCCTCCCTTATTCTCATTATGTTCTAATGATTTAGGGGAAGATAAATTAAGACCTTAACAATACAGAAGATAATTACAATTTATGTGTATAATATTTAACCTGAGCTTGTTAGGGGAAGTAAAAGGTTGCTCTCCTTTAGACTCAAAAGAAAGCACTAAAAATATAAGTAGTTAACATAATGCCTAAACATAACTATACTCCTCATGGAAACAGTGGAAGGCCAGCATTTTAATACTCAGCTATAATTAATGCACGATTTAAACAACTAAAACGTAATGTTTAAAAGGCAAACGTCTTATTTTCAATATCATTCTACCTAAAAGGAAGCATATCTTTATTTTCAAATGCTTTCATTTTCTCAGTTCCAGTACAAAGTAATTTTACAATTAAGATAACACCTATCTCGACATAGTACAGAAAAGTACAAATTTTGAGCAGAGTCAAATTTTAACCAAGATGATTTACTCTGGTTTTACAGAATAAAGCATCAATTCTGCTTATCAATTCTGCTTTATCAATTCCTCTCAATTAGAGAGGCCCTATATACCACAGACATAAATGAAAAAGCTAGAATTCTTAAGTGGCTTCTGTTTGCTCAGTTACTCATGATAGAAATTCTGCAGTGCAGAGAGAGCCCTGGAAAAAGGACAGTACAGTTGACAAAAGTGGAACAAACCTCATTCAATGCAATAATGTTTGAAAATGTTCCAACTGAAATGAACCCTCATGATTGCCACTTGGCTTTCAAAAGGTGCAATTAATCCTGTCTAACAGCTCTGGGCTCAGTTTCTGAAGCAGTTTTCTTTGAGGAATAGTGCTAAGTGCGAAATCATGAACTGCTGAAGATGTTGGATGTGGACCTGCTCTCAGTACTCAGAGATCCTAAGGACAAGCTGCTTGACTGCTCCAATTCACGGAGAAAAGGAGCTTCGAGCTGACGCAGACTAAAGCATTTCCCCAAGAGCAGATCTAATGGTCAAGACAAACGTCAGCACTCCTGTGTCCCATGTCAGACTAACTGAATTCCATACTTGGCTCTGGCTCCTGACTCCAGCTTCCTGCTAGAGCAGACCCTGCGAGGTAATAGCAATGGTTTAAGCAACTGTGTTTCTGCCATAGACAGGCACCTGCAGGGTTCCCAGCTCGCAGCTTCCACCAAGTTCAGCCCCAGCCAGTGTAGATATTTGGGCAGTAAACCAGCAGATCAAAACTTTCTTTCCTGATCTGCCTTTCAAATAAGCAAGCACTTAAAAAAAAAAGTGCTACCCTTATCATAACAATAAACATTAAACATTTGATATTACATAGTACCACACGCAGTTTAAGCAAAAATTGGCCAGAATGAAGTGTTCCATTACAGTAACTTAAAGGAAGCCAATGAGGCCAGCATTGTGGCACAGAGAGTAAAGCCACTGCTGCAATGCTGGCCACTCATGCAGCCACTAGTTCATGTCCTGGGTGCACCACTTCTCATCAACTTCCTGTTAGTGGCTTCGGAAAGGAGTGGAAGACGGTCTCTACTCAAAATGTTCTTAAAAACAAGAACACCTAAATAAACTGATACACTCTGAAATACAAAAAATACTCCCTATTATAAAAATACTATATTTTGCTAGGAATTTGTTTATACTATTCTTTGAATAGGGGCCCAAAGTCCAAGAAATGTTCTCCGTAATTATGTTTGACAGGACACCTCTGAACAGCAGTCCTCTCTCTTTCAGCTTCTCTTCCCACAGCTTCTGCTCCCACTGGCAGTTGTAGGTGTGGCATTTTCATCCCACATCAACACAGAAAGAGGGAGCTCCATACAGCAAGAAACTTTGGAAGAGCACAGTTATAAGACCGCTTAGAAATGTATCATGATGATCACCGTTATACTGTCAGCTACTGTTTTAATACATTAATACATTACTATGCCTAACTTATAAAGCCAAGGTGCATGTAGGGTCCAACAACACCCACAGTTTCAGGCATCCACTAAGGTGGGACACATACAGACAGTGGACTGGCTGGTATGCAAGCTTTTTTCTATCCTTGTTATAGTTTGCTATATACACACTTAAACATTTATATGCATGCAAAAGTTTCACTCTTCTGAATCTTAAATACAGACTTACACACGTGAGAAAGAACAAGACAATGAACGCATTCAGTAGCACACAGAGTGAATCCTACTTACTGCTGAAGAGCCCAGTGCGGATTTTGGAGACCTAATTATTCCAGCAATCGAATGACGAATAGATTCAAATTTGGATAGCCTCTCCTTTCTCTCCTGCGGGGATTAAGAAACAAGTCTTCAGCCAAAGTCAGTAATCCAATGCATACACCTGTTTGTATTTAGTAATTTTTCCACAGCTTATACATCATATCTTCCCACTAAATAAAGCATAAACTTAGTGACAAAAACAGATAACCAAATGTGTATGAGATCCACAGCATTTTTATTGACCCTTCAATAAATGTCCTGATTTGGAGGGGAAAAAAGTTCAGATTCATGAAAACAATGCATTAAAACAACATGCACCAAAACAGAGAGGCACTATAAGGAACAAGAATACATGGAGTATTTCGGATGGCATTATTATTGTGATGGATTTCTAATAAGAAAAAAAATAAATAACTGTTATGGGGGAGAATGATATAGAATACATGTTTAAAAAAGTGAGTTACATTTAAGTACCTAGGAAGTTGTCCAGAGATGTATAATAATGTCGATGGGATGATGATGATGTGATTAAAGAGTAGCATTGGGTGAGAAAGAAATGAATTAAGAATGAAGCAGTAGTGGGATTCCCACCAGGGAAATTCAATCCAGACTGACATGTGCTGTGTACTGTATATCCCTAAATAACATACCACAACTGAAAGAAACTTTTCCTTCAAGTTTCAGATCTTTAGATAATTTTACAAACACAATGGAGCAGGTGATAGGATAGAAAGGAAGGCCAAGAAAAGAAGCAGGAAGACTGAACGAGAACAAGAGAAATGCATGTGTGAACGGAAGCATCAGTCAACTTTCCAATAAAGACTAGATTTCAATAATCAACAGTAGATCAGAAAGGGATCTTCTTATCATGTACAGTATTCACGTCTTCCATCAATACTGATGCTGAATTTTTCCTGTGGAAAACAAAATAAGGCAAACAGCATCTTTTGTTTCCTATGTCTTCTGTACCTAACTTTGTGCCTCTGTCTCAATAACTGGAGCCATTTTGGGCTACATTCCACCTAATAAATGTGGCAGTTCTGACAGTCCGCTACATTTACACGTCAGTCTCCTGCGTTGTTTTCATCCTAAGTGTTGCAGTGCCAATGGTATTTGGTTTTGCCAATAAATCATCTGTCTCTCCTTCTCTGTCACTCCATAGTTCCCTCTCTCTCCCCCTGTAACTTCAATTTTAAAAATCAATTAACTAAATTCTTAATTTAAAAATAACATGTTCACTCTCAATTTGGGTGTTTTTGTAAGCCTTATTTTCCTAAGTGTTTTTGGAAGTCTATATAACACAAAATCACCGAAGACTACAGCAATGATATGAATAAAGCGACGTTAGAGTATGTGACACTTAGAGATGCTTTGTAACTAGATTTATGAAGATATAAATTGCAATTATGTGATGCACACATATTGGACAGCACTTCCCATGCTCCAGCCAATTTACCCTTTGTGAATTACTGCCCTGAGGATATCTCCCCCTACTCAGAGTTCACAGAGGTTGCAGTCTTGCTGTTGCTACTGCTAGCAGAAAGATGGTAAGAAAATATTAACCTACCTACTTGGCAATGAAAGCATTATATGTAGCAGGCCCCTCGACCATGAATTTAGATTTTTTCTTTGAAGTCAACAGTCTTTAAATACTGGAGGAAGCATCATCACTGTATGAAAATACTGCGAGAACAGAACTGACTGGGAAACTCTACAGGAGAGTTTGTAAAAATAAGACAATTGAGGGAGAGTTTAAGTATTAGAATGTATTTCAATAGGGTTACATTGTACATCAAACTACAAAAGGAAGAACTCTTTCCCTCAAACTCCATTGGCAATATCAAAAGAGAAAATAGAAGGTACTTACATGGTGACTATACTTTCCTGAATAACACATGATAATATTTGCCCAACCAAGCTCCTGTTTAATGTTAAAACCCAGCTCCAAATTAGTCTATCTAATAACACACCAGCCTGCACTGAACTGACAGGCTCATTTTTCTATCAAAGTATTAAATGGCTACTTTAAAAATAAAAAATTAATAGTATCTCTTCAATGACCAAAGGTATAGTGCTGACATTTGCCTCAAGATCAGCCACGGATGGCAATGACTCTTATTTTATTGCCCTAAGTCAAGTCATGACAAGAAAAAGAGCTTTGTCTAACAGGGGAAGGAAAGGCCTGGCTACTGGAACTGATGGGGCCCATGAAATCACTTGATGTGTTGCAGCCAAAAGCCTTGGTACTCTACACTAACATGGGAGACTTAGAAGAAGCTCCTGGTTCCTGGCTTCATATCAGCTTAGCTCTGGCTAGTGTAGCCATTGCAGAGTGAACCAGCAGATGGAGAATCTTTCTCTTTCTTTCTCTCTCTCTATATAAAGATAGATATGGATATATAGATATCTATATATAGATATATAGATATAGATGGATATATTTCATATATATTTATGATCTGTCTTTCCAATAAAAAGAAATAAAATCCTTAAAAAATAATGGTTCATTAAAACGATAACCAAATATTATTTCTCACAGGCTTCTATAAATAAACCCCACTAATAACACTCTTGGAAGGATCAAAGTAATTACTTGGCCTTGTAGGAATAGTCAGGTGGTTATTCAAATCTGAAGGCAATACGGATCAAGAAAGAGATAATATTCATGCTAAACTGTAGGCTGAGTGCCAAGTTATCTTGGGGACTTCTTATGCAGAGCAGTCATGAAATTCAGAGATATTCTGTGAGAAATAACTGCAGGGAAATTAAAAGATTGTCCTCTGGGGGAAAAAATCTGCACTACTGATGATTCCATAATGTAAAGGAAATGCAGGAACTATCCATATGTCCTTTATAAAAGGGACAAATATAAAAGGGCCAAATAAGTGAAGGAGTAACAACCTTTGATTGTTGATTTGCTGATGGAGAGATAATACAGTTTCTATACCCATCAGGATATAGAATTAAAATGTTAAAAACAGTTTTTGAATGATTTATTTTAGCAGTTGGGTTCCAACTGAAGGAAAACCATTTTGGAAGTGTTCACAGGCCACTAACCTAATTTGCCATGCTGTCTTTTTTCCTGTGATGCTTGCACATTAAGCATACTTATTAAAGGCAAGAAAGATTCTTGCCAAGTGAAGTATTTTCTTATTCTGAAATAGTGAAACCAGAAACCAAATGTATATAAAAAAAAAAAGAACAGTAGAATGGTTACTGAGATCTCGTTGTAAAAGAAGAATGCTAAGAGAAGCAATGGCCTAACAGAATAGTGTGATAAGAGACAGACTATAAAATGTCATCAATCATTTGTTTTGCTTTCTTGACTCTGAGTCTTAAATAAGGTGGTGTCTCTAGGGAAACAAGAGACAAGCAAGAGGCTAGAACCAGCTTCCTGCCTATTCCAGTTTTAAACACAATTCATGGCCTGTGGCTTCTTTTCCAAATATATGCTCAAAATGGTTAAAGGTAGTCTTTTTTTAAAAAAGAGTTTATATACAGAATAGTTTTAAATCCACAATAAAGTTGAGAGAAAGAAGCTGAGATGTTTTATATGTCTTCTGGACCTACACATGTACAACAGCCTCCATTATCAACAGCTGGCCACCACGGCTTTGCACTTGTTCTTGCGGCAGCAACACGGACAGAGCATGGTCACCCCAACTCTACAGCAGACATTCGGGCTCTCCCTTGGTACTGTACATTCCATGGGTTTGGATAAATGCAGGGTGCCACACATCCACCACCACTTCAGCATCACACAGCGTAGCTTCCCTGACCCCGCAAAAGTCTTCACTCTGTCTATTCATGTCTACCCCTCCCTAGACTATCTTTCTGTAAATAATCCAGAGAAACCAACAACTTCCTGGGGGAGCACATCACTAACTCACAAGTCACACATCAGAGACTCTGCTTAGTCAACAACTGTGCAGCTGGTTTGTTCTCTGAAAGGTAAAATATTATGAGTTAGATTATCAAGAATCTTAACATTCTGCTTTTACAATCATTAGGAACAGAACAGTCAAGCAGTCAAAACAGTGTAATATCTACTGCATTACATCAGGACAGGTACCATTAAGTAGTAAACAAGGTCCCTGTGCAGCCTCAGCTACGCTTTCACCAGCTCCCTAGCTCACAACCTGATGAAAACACAACACTCTCATCAGGTGCAAATAACTGCCTATCCCTACATCCACCACATACACCAGAGTCTTTCATATGGTTTCCATATCTCTCCAAATCTTTCCTGCTTCCCTTTTCCCCTTCTTCTGCTCTGCTTTAATGCATGCTTATAAGTATTAGTTATTATTTTACGCACACTGAGCTATTTGCTTTCTAAAAAACTGTTGCGAGCACCACTGCTATGCACATGTGTCTGCATGTTTGAATATCTCTTTTCAGCTCTTTCAGGTTTGTAGCTGGAAATGGAACTGTAAATCCATGACCACCTTTTTGAGGAACTACTGAAATGTCTTCTGCCATGGCTGGACCATTTTACAGCCCCATCAGCAACAAAGGAGGGCACCAATGTGGCCACGTCCCCAGCAGGACTTGTTCCCTGCTTTTTTCATGATAGCCATCCTGGTAGGTTTGAAGTGTTTCTTGCATTCATTTTTTTTAAAGGCCATCTTCATTGGATATCACATTCAAGGTTGATTTTTTTTCTTTTATACTTTGTCTTCTGGCCTCTGCTATTTCTGATGAGAAATTAGCTACAGTTCCTACCACTGTCCCATATATATGACATGTGTCTTTTTCCTTGGTTGTCTTGTAATCAATTATACCATGAGAATTATAATTTCTTAAAAATTATGCCATCGATGATTTACTAAATGTCATGGACTGTTGACAATGCAGAGATGCACTTCACTATGAGACTTTCTGCTATTGTTTCTACTTTATCTTTCTGTCCTCTCCTTCTTAGATTGTACTTCGCCTACCTCAGTGCCCTTCGTACTCTTCAATCTCAAATGTTGCTATCTTTTTTTTTTCACTTTTTAAAAATTCTGGCTTCAGTCTGGATACTATTTATGACCTTGTCTTCATATATCTTCTCTGAGTCTATC